GATAGAGGAGGAGGAGGAGGAGTACGAGGAGAACAGAGGGGAATCAAACCCGGTTCTCCCAGATTAGAGTCCGCGCTCCTAACCGCTACACCAATCTGGCTCCCGAGTTTGAGAAGGGTAGGGAGTTCAGCAGACAAGTTATTCCATCGTGTCTATGCTTCGGAACTGCCATGTCCTCCAGGGACATTGATCTTTGTATTCTGGAGAGCACTTGTAATCCCAGGCGAACGCCTTTCTGAAAACTTTCAGAAGGCTTTTCCAACATTGCCCCCAAAATACAAATCTGGGACAAGCAGAAAAACAGGGACTGTTCTGGGTAAACTGAGACAGGTGGCAAGGGTGCATACACAGTCCAAAGGATCAAAAATCAACCACATAGTTAAGAGCTTCCCTTTGGTCTTGTTTGCTTTAGATTACTTTTACAGCAACACATTTAAAGTGGCAGTTTACAGGTTTACATGAAACATAAATCCTGGGGGGAGAAATTGCAGTTACAGGGACAGGTTTGTTTTGTTAGGCCATTTTACTTACAAGTTAAATAGCTGTTGGCGAGAGACCTCAGTTGGCCATAAATTGTCATTCCCTATAACACAGAATACTCTGGTTGATTTACAATACAGCACGTCTCCCAAATGGATCCAACGGCTCATAAAGAATAAGAGCCCTTGTGGCATGAAGAGAGACCATCGTTGACAAGAGGCCGCTGTTGATTGGAGCACAATGAGACCCAGCATTCAGGGACAATCTTTTCATATTGTCATGATTGTTGTGTGAATAAGAAGTAATCAATGAATGACGGGGAATAATTGCAGTCGGAAGAAGAGGTTACACATCAACGAGACTCAATCCACTACTTGGGGTTTCTGGTAAGGGCCTACTGGGTAAGTTCTCTACTACAAGTTATATATATGTGGCTGGTCTAGCGACTATAATAAATTCTACTACTACTACTACAACAAGTTTTTAGTAATGGCCTGTCTGTAAATTCATATGCAGCTCCTCCATGAATTGGTATGCTTCCTGATGGGCATACCTGTAGGGCAGTTATACTTGCAAGCTTGTATTTGTTGCATTCATAACTTAATTCTAATAGGTGCACATCTACAAAATATGACACGTGAAATGGTCCTCAAATCGTGTGATTCCTCCCCCTGTTGATGAAAGCCTTTGCTTCTGCATGGTACAGTGGCCAAATGCTGCTGCAAATGCAGCCAGAATAACAAATCAACCGTTACAACTGGAAGTATGAGAAAAAAATTTAATGTACAAAACATTTATATACAGTTTCAGCATAGGACTGCCATTCTTATGATATAAAAAAAAGCTTAAAAGGTCCTTAAGATATAAAGACAGAACATTTCAGCTACAATATCTTATTAATAACGTCTTCTATACAGAATATATACAGCACCAGTATGGTTGCTATAATACTATGTGACCCCATGAACCATGAACTGGGACAAACCTCAATTTTCCCTGTTTGTGCCCATCCCTACCCCCTAGAACTGAAATTCCGTGTCAAGAGAACTCTGGCTGTGCTCAGTGATCACAGCTCACCCAGCCAAGCCATTCTGTAACATTTGCAAGAATCATGGCCCCTATGAATAGACCCATAATTTCACACCAGTCCTTACTAGGCCCGTAGACCTAACTAAGGGATGAGAATGAGAATACAGTTTGTCAAAGCTCATTCAGAACACTATCAGAAAGGGTAACACTGCATTACTCAGTAGCAGGGCTTTTTTTGTAGAAAAAGCCCAGCAGGAACTCATTAACATAATAGGCCACACCCAACAGCAGAAACTCATTAGCATAACAGGCCACACCCTGACAGTACAGCTCATTAGCATATTAGGCCACACCCCGTGCCTTCCCTTGGCTTGCCCCAAGCGCCCTGTGCCCCGCCGGGGTGTGTGTGTGTTTTGTTTTCCAGGCCTTCCCCTCTGTAGCCACACATGCAGAGGTTTTGGCTGTAGTGGTTGTGGCCACCTCTGAAGCCAGCCAGAACTCCGTTCCTGTGCATTCCTGGCCAGCCCTGCTCAGAAGACCCTAATATTTTTAGTTAGGCTTTGCTTGATCCCTTGTGAGTGAGAAGAAAAAATAAATATATTTTGGAATCATATCCTGGTTTCAAGTAGGATAAAAAAGTACTTCTAATCACCCAGTTGTTCTCCTGTTAATTGACACATCAAAGTCACTATAGAGTTAAATTTCCCTGCTGCTTTTGCATGACAAACCTGTTCTTTTTTGATGGGATCTAGTATTTCCCATGTTAGGGAATTCTTTAAAAAATAAACTTGCTTTCAAATGAAAGGATCGCCATGCAAAACTGATGTGGAACAGTTACCCTGTGATCATTTTGTCACAGCAATAATTGATACGATGGTTTATGGAATTGTGTATGGGGCCAGTAGTAAGTTTACAAGGAAACAAGGATCACGTTGTGTGCTAATTTATATGAACCAGTATTTCTGTGTGGGAAGTGTAAGCCATCATGAATGCACAAATGATAGTGGCTGCAGTGCACAAGCAGACTGCCTACACATGTTAGATTCTGGCTTTGAGCTACCACCAGTAGCCCCACGGACAACTGAACGGGGGTTGCTAGATTACAAATTCAAATTTAGAGTAGTGATAAAAATGGGAATGTGACCCATATTTCCTTCTGTGACTTACTCTGGGATAATTTGTTTTATAGATAAATGCCAGTTTCTCATTCAGCCATGAATGATGGAGAAACATCATAATTATCGGCATGTATCAATACATAAAACAAGGAACTTACTGTACATTGTGCTTTTTCATGTTGTTTTGTAACTGTGTTAAAGCAAAATGTACAGTAAAAACAGCTACAGGTTCTTGATGGAAGGATATTTACAGGGCTTTCTTTGTAGAAAAAGCCTAGCAGGAACTCATTAGCATATTAGGCAACTCCCCTAATAGCACAGCTACTTAGCATATTAGGCCACACCCATGCCTTCCCTTGGCTTACCTGGGCAACCCGGCCCTTGGACAGGTCGAGGAAGGCACGGGGAGGCATTTAAATGCCTCCCCGATCCTTCTAGGGGGCCCCTGGCCCACCCACCTTGGAGTCGCCGGGGGGGGGGTCGTTCTCCAGGCCTTCCCTCTGTAGCCACACACGCAGAGGTTTTGGCTGTAGTGGGCATGGCCAACTCTGAAGCCAGCCGGAACTCCGTTCCTGTGCGTTCCTGCCCAAAAACAGCCCTGGATATTTACATGTTTTGAGCCAAGGTGCCAACCACGCATGCTTGAATAGACTGAATCCCGTGAACTCCCTTTCATGCACATGGATGGGTTTACACATCTTATTTTTGCAAGCCCCGTAAGCCTCCCAAAGCAGCTGCCTTCCTTTGTGTCTTGGCTTTCTTACAGGTTTGTCCAGTTTGGGAGCTGGTCCTTAAATAGATGGCCCCATCTCTGAATAGTTAGCACATTTAGAATAATGTTTTCAGGCAGCTAAATGTATAAAAAAATAACTAATTCGTGCAGTGTGTGTGGGGGGGAGACAGAAACATGGCTGCTTACAGGGGGCAGCTCCGCTCAGGCTACATAGGATCCATGCCATTGTGTCCGTTGCACTCGTATCCTGCCTGCCCTCCCCTCCGAGGACATCAGAATAGTGTTTTCAGTCATACGGCAAGATTGTGACTGCCAAAGGCCACCCAGCAAACTTTCTGAGCCCACGCCCGAGCCAACATGCACACGTCTGCACCATAAGTCATTTATGTACTATACAGCAGACGGAGAGAAAGTTTTCAGGACAGCAATAAATTGTGACGTCAATTTGTGACCTATGCAAAGTTTCCGTACCATCACATGGGTCACTTCTTATCAGTAAACTCTGCTGTGGCCAGCCTCTTTGTGCCTTCGGCTCCAGCGCGAAGTCAATGGAAAGAAAGAATGACCCGTGCTCTTTAAGAAACCATTGTATGCCATTCATGGCAAAGACCTTTTTTCCTACTGGACATATTTTTAAATTAGCGGCATTTCCAAGACTCCGCTACATTCTCCATGATATAAACTACCTTGTAAAAATCCTCTGATAAAAAAGAAATGGGGCATTAATCTTTTACATCGTCTCCCCATCAGTGTGACCCCCTCAAATGTCTTTTAGCAACTCTACAATGCCTTATATAAAAGTACCTTTATTTTATATAAGCTTCTGGCAATACACTTTATTTGACGTTAATGGACGAGAGATGCCTTGACGATTCAACAACTAACACACAATAAGGCACTTTGCTGCAAAACTGTTCAGGGGCTGGCGCTTCTTGGCTAAGCTGCAAGGGACCAAGAGCTATATTGGCTCTATAAACAACACTGTGCATGCCCGTGTGCGCACACTCCTGCCCCAAAAGCAAAGCACTAAAGCATCAAGCAGACACAGTATGGCTTTTTTTTTTTTGCATTTAGGTCAAAATGATACCCGTCCATTTGTCACAAGAGAGGGTGAGAAATTGCATTTTTGCAGCACTAACTAAAGGAAAACCGAAAGGAGATGGCAAAATGTGCTTTTTACAAGAGAGAAAAAGATTAATCTTTAACACCACTGTGCAATATTTTAGTGTACAACTCTCTAGTGTTCCACATTTGGCAAAGTCCCATCTTTTTTCCGCATTGAACAGTAAAGAACACATGAAAGTCTGAAAAAGGGGAGGAGGAGAAGGAAATAGCATTTTAAAAATGATGTCAAATGTGGCCTGTCTTTTATGAAAAGGGACACTCGAGAGGTATGTTCTAGTACCGTGGTGGTATTTTTTGAGCACGCTGAAAAACAAGCACAAAAATAATACTAGAGAGAGGTGCATCCGTTCAGTGCTTCTTTTATACAGTTTATACATGTTTGTACAAAGACTTTTTTTCTTACTTGGAATCCCTTTAATGTATTTAATACTTGTAAAAAAAAATCTACTCTATGGATTTCTTTCTTTTTAAAGAACAGCACATTCATCAAATTGCTTAGCATGTAATCTCTGGGATAATTCTAGACAGTTGTGCTTTAAGCATTAAGACATCATGTTAAGAAATTTACTCTCTTCTGCCAAGGTGGTCAACATAGAGCTCATGTCCCCGATTGCCATATTGCTAACTCCAGCTGGGATCGATGGCAGTGTCAGAGAGTTTCGGGGAGTTGTAAGGCGCGAAGAGTTCTGGGAGAGGTTCTGCAGAACGCTCGGACTCAGGGTCCCTGACATCAGGCTTGAATGGTCACCATCATCCATGATGACATCAAAATCTATCTGAGGAGGCTCCAGAACCTGTGAGTCCACAGTGCTCGAAACTTGATTAGCTCCAGGAGAGGGCATGGTGGCTGGCTTGACATTTAATGCACACTGCTGCTGTCGTACACTACAGTCTTCATGGTTATTAACATTTCCATTGTGTTCATACATGTGTATTTGACCGTAATAGTGCATTAAATGGCTTTCTCTCATATCACTGTTGCAAGGCTGAGGCTGAGATGAGGCCACGCCATTTATTCTCTTAGGGGTGGTCTCTGCCTTATCCTGCCCTGGACTTACATCAGTAAACGGGTGAGGTGTTCTCATGTAACCCAACTGTTGCATAGCACGTATCCCTCGGTATCTGTTTGCTGGACTGGGATTAGATGGAGGATGAGGCTGTACTACACCAGAAGGGAAGCTGTGTTCAAATCTACCTATCATATCCTGTTGTGGCTCAAAATTTGTCTGATTTGAGGTCATCAGTGCAGAAGGCTGATGGAACACTTCCTGTGCCACTGAGAGGTTCATGTGTGTTGGCTGAGATGAAAAGCTCTGCTGTTGCCCTGGTTCCTGTATTACCTGATTGTGCATTGTGCATTCTCTGCTGCCACTGACTACCAAATTTGTATCAGCCATAGCATCCATTGGCTGAGGATGAACATGGCATGCAGTCTTCATTATTATGTTGTTACAGGAAGGGGAAAACTGTTTGAGATCGCTGCTCATTGTGTTTGGGCTCAGCATTTGATGAGCCTGGCTATACCCTTGGTGTGAGTTCAAATCTGGATTGTTATTAGGATTTAGATTTGCCTGTTGCTGCTTTAAGTGCATGCAGTTTAACTTTTGTCCATCCATGCCGGCATTCTTGTGCATAAACTGCTGCAGGTTTGCATCCATGTTTTGAGCCATCTGTGTCTGCTGGTGGTTGAAGCTGTGATACTGGCTGAAGTTGTGCTTCTGATGGACTACACCCAAGTTCCGCGGTGAAAACTGTTGCTTTGCTTGAGCAGAGGTTGCATCAACAGTACCTGAGCTAACCTCATTCCATTGGACAGGCATGTTGTTTTTACACATATTGGAGGACATACCAAAGTTTATTTGACACCCACCCATCACTGGATCGGAATGATTCATACTCACATCTGAGACAGCCATTCTACATTGGTTTAGCATGCTGTTCTGTTGTCCTTTTGCATTCACCTGGAAGCTCTGCATCTCATTGCCATACCCTATAGAAGAGTTTTCTCCAGCCATCCCATTGTTTTGTGATTTGATATATTGCACTACGTCGTCAGGTAGTACTATATCATCATCTCCAACAGAACCATCAGTCTCACCAGACATTGCTTCCATGGCAATATTCTCACTAATACTTGGTGGCCTTGGGGAATACATGTGCCTGGTGAGGCTTCCGTCTGAACGTGTATAGCCTGAAAGGTTGAAGTTCCTTCTGTCCAATGGAGGGTGAAGAGGATTCATGTTGTTGGTGCTATTGAAACGATGGACTCTAGGAAGGGAAGTAGGGTCTCCAGGCGGTCTCCTTACAGGATCACTTGCACGCCTTGCATTATTGCCTACCACTTCATGAGGGAAGGCAGCTGGTGCTCCATACCCATAAGGGTTACCGTCACTACAACGCCTTGGACCAGGAAGGTGGCGAAATGAAGGCAAAGTAGGCTCTGACCCATCAAGAAGGGAGATTTTGTTCTTTAGACTCATTCTTTCCATATTAGGCAATGGTGTGGGTGGAGGGCCACCCGTGGCTGCCGCATACTTAGCTTTTAGCCTGTAGTGCTGAGCTGGTGTAAGGTGCAGAAGACCTTGGATCCCACTGCACTGGCTGGCATCACTCGATCGGCGTGATGCATCTGTGGAAATTGGGTCGTAGGAGTCAGCAGAACTTGTGTTGTTCGGACGGTTTCCAAATTGTGATGCTTCACTGGAACGGCGACTGGAGAAATAAGGGGATATCCCCGATGACCTGCGACTGACTGTGTAGGTAGAGCTGATGGTGCTGGTTGAGCTATCACGACGTTCAGTTAGTTGATTCAACATTGTAAGCTCGTTGGTGGACAAGTCCGTTATTCTTGGGTTAGGCAATGCTGCAGAAGATCCACCCGTGTTGTCCAGTGGATAGCCTGAATGAAGAAAAGAGAGTGGGCTCTTAGTTGGCGGTGGCAAAAAGGCAACCCCCTTTCACAGACTTCTCCCCCCTGAATGCATTCTCTTTTCTACCCTTTCTCATTCCCACATCTCTCTGTGTTATTAGCCCTCTATGGCTTTTTTCAAGTACAACATATTTAGGCTGTTGGCAGTGCTGCTTCCCACAAACTGGAGCCAGGCAATAGTCTTTAAGAAGTGTTAAGATAGAAGTGAGATTGGACATAGTGTACACATACTTTACTTTTGTTCAGCTGTCCAACTGGGCTTGTGGGGTTTTATCATGGTAAGGTAAAGCTAAAGGTTTCCCTTGCTCGAAAGCCAGTCGAATCTGACTCTAGGGTTGTGGTGCGCATCTCCGTTTCCAAGCCGAACAGCCAGCGCTGTCCGAAGACGTTTCCGTGGTCATGTGGCCGGCATGACTAGACGCCGAGGCACACGGAACGCTGTTACCTTCCCACCGCAGCGGTCCCTATTTATCTACTTGCAATTTCTTGCTTTCGAACTGCTAGGTTGGCAGGAGCTGGGACCAGAGACGGGAGCTCAATCCGCCATGCAGCACTCGGGTCTCGAACTGCTGAACTACTGACCTTCCAGCCTGCAGTTCAGCATCTTAACCACTTGAACCACCGCAGCTCGTTGTACCATTGTAGGAGAGTGAAAAATGGGTCGCAGGCCACAGGTGAAGATGGTACTATTATCCCACTTCCAAGTCTCATGAGAAAACCCTATAATCTGCCCAGTTTAGAGAAGAATACAACATGGGGCATAAAAGAACAAGGTTGTGAAAAGCAATAAACTGACTGCGGTAGACCCACACTTTTAACTGGCATTGAAATAGCCAAGGGAAATTTCTTGGGATCAGATTGTAGCAGAATGAAACCTTTGATGGACATAATGATTTCTCCCAGCCAGTACAACTGATCAGCCACGAAGAAGGATCTCAAAGACTCAACAAGAGGGGTCTTTTTCTTCACAGAGATAATTGTCATACGTGGCGATTCATCTGAACTGCCTTTATCCAATTGATATCAGTGGTCCCATGAGATCCACCCTTCCTGAATTTGTAAATTAACCCAGAAAAATATCTGGAAAAACTCCCACAAAGATCTATCATACGCCTAGGGCACGGTAGAATGAGAAGGAAGGATGGAGGAAGAAGATTTGTTAGGAAGAAGGAGACAATTCTTTCAGAGCCAGTTTCCCAGTGGAGCAGGACAGGAGCAACAGTTCTTTTCCCACACACAATCCCGGATTTTAGTTCAATAGTTCCCTTCCCTCCATAGATTTATTTACACTTGTTGTTCATCATTGGCTGAGTAATGCTACAAGCATGGACAGCTTCAAGAGGGAATTAGATAAGCAGAGGTCCATCGGTGGCTATTAGCCACAAGGTATAGATAGGGACTCCGGGGCAAGTGATGCTCTGTATTCTTGGTGCTTGGGGGGGGGGGCAACAGTGGGAGGGCTTCTAATGTCCTGGCCCCACTGCTGGACCTCCTGATGGCACCTGGTATTTTTGGCCACTGTGTGACAGAGTGTTGGACTGGATGGGCCGTTGGCCTGATCCAACATTAGCTTCTCTTATGTTCTTAATGCAAAGCCCTTGGTTTAACTTAACTGGTGTTTGATTTATTTCTCTGCTTGTTTGTTTGTAACTTCATTGGATATTGAAGTATTGGAGTGAAATTCAGTATACACATTCCGGACACCATTCCGCTTTTTAAGGCAAAACACTAGCTGGACTCCCACACCATTTTCAAGGGCACAGGAAAGCTGTAAAATTTAATGCCAAGTGATCTCTCTCTTAAAGGCTGAGATATTGCAATGAAAGTTATTATTCTGAATTTTTATTATTTTAAGTATGAACCCCACCACCTCTTTTCAAGGAGAACAGGAGAGATCTACAACGCATTGCAGTACACCACTTGCCTTGAAGAGTGGGATACCTGAATACATGTCGGTGTATGTATTTGTAACAACACTCTTTTGTTCCAAATCTGAGTCCAATCTTGACCACACCTGTTCTCAAGGACATCAGGAAAGAAATACAATATACTGCAACATGATATCTGGCTTCAAGACAAGGTATAGATAGGGACTCTGGGGCAAGTGATCCTCTGCATTCTTGGTGCTTGGGGGGGCAACAGTGGGAGGGTTTCTAGTGTCCTGGCTCCACTGCCGGACCTCCTGATAGCACCTAGTATTTTTGGCCACTGTGTGACAGAGTGTTGGACTGGATGGGCCATTGGCCTAATCCAACATTGGCTTCTCTTATGTTCTTATGTATGAGAGAAGAGTAATAAAAGTTGGTGTGCATGCTGAGGACATCCAGGTTTCAGAATTGGATTCCAGCTCAACCCACCCACCCATTTTCAAGCAGGGAGAAAAGATACCCAATAGATTACTGTGCAATAGTTCAAACAACCAACCACAGCCAGACCTACCATTGCCTGGGATGGGAGGCAGCTTGGTGTTTCTCATTTGAGGTGCTGGATTTGACCATGAGCAAGAATCCTTCACCGTCCTGAGTTTCTCTTTCTTGAGCTGCTCAAGGCGTTGCGTTGTTGTCATGTGTTTCCTTAGCTGAAGACTGACTGTCGCGTTTCCTGATGAAACTGTCGAGTCCACAACAGGAGTGCCATCTTCCAATGCGGTCAGGTCTCCCAGACTTCCTCCACTGTGTATGTTCATTTCTACTCCACTGTCATTGTTGTTGGTGCTCCCAAGTGGTGATGGTTCACTGCTGCATGATGACTGGCCACCAGGACTGGACTGATACATCTTTGCAAAACAAAGAAAAAGGAGGAAGTCTTAATGAATTTGAGATGTCTCTCCCTGTATCAGATGTACTCATTTTTAATTTCAACACTCATCTCAAAACCAGTGCCTTTGGTGCAGCAAACTTACAATAAATAAATAAATAAATAAATAAATAAATGTATGTATAACTTGTCAGAACGTTTGATTTTTTGGGGGGATGTTTACTGCCTTTTTGTTCCCCGGTGATTGATTCTTCATGACACTGTTTTTCTGCACCCGCACCCACATTGTTTTCTTCTTTTTCTGCAACCACACTTCCTCATCGCCTCATACTACTGTTTAATCTAATTAGTTATGGTGATTAAAATAAAGTTGTTGTTTAGTGTCTTCCAATTGCATCATCACATCAGACACGGTATTGTGATCCACCATTGACACAGATCACATGAGCTGGCACAGCCAATCAGGTTAAAGGCCAGTGTGGGACATGGGGGCAAAGAAGATGGAAGTAAATGGTACTGAGAGAGGAACAGCATCAAAACAGCACAAATAATGTTCACATGATGGGAAAACAAGAGTTGTTTCAGAAGATGGAAGACAAAAAGAGGCAAGCGGTTTTCGCTGACCGCTGCAATTTACTTAAAGAAAAAAAAGCCCACACAGAACTGGATTATGTTTCACTAGGAACGTTCCTTGTCCCCCTCCTTTGAAGGTACAAGGACGACCCTAGTAGATGAAGTATCTCCATTTGCTTATTGGTGGAGACAAGGGGCCATGTAGATCGGAGTAGGTTTGGTCACAATTTTAATATTTTAAACATTAGTTTTAAAAAGTTAAATAAAATTGAGGGAAAAACTCACAACCACAGTTTAAATCAACAATCTTTACATTAATATATTTAGAGCTACAGAAAATGTTTAAAATCTATTTCATACTAATTTAAAAAAATCAGTATTTTTGGGGTTTGGGTATACCAAACTCAAAAAATATTGCTATATTGGCAGCTTGTGAGGCTAACCACTTGCCTCCTTGACCCATGCCCTTCCTGGCTGGTGAAAGCCTGTGGAGATGGCATCTGGGTTCACCTGGGAGAAATTATCAACTTGTCCCTTTCTTCTAGGATGTTCCCAGTAGGGATGAAGGAGGCAATGGTTCATCCACTCTTGAAGAAACCAACACGGTCCTAGCCAAAAACTGCCCAGTCTGAAATCTTTCATTTCTGGGAAAGGAAGTTGAGAGGGCAGTGGAAGAAAAGCTCCAGGTTTTCCTGGATGATGCATCCATCCTCAATCTGTCCCAGTCCAGTTTCTGCCCTGGCCATGGGATGGAGACAGTGCTAGTCGCCCTCAAAGATGACCTCCAGAGACACATGGATTGGGGTGGGTCAGCGCTGCTGTTACTTTTAGATCTGAGAGTGGTGTTCAGCATGGTCAATTACCATCTTATGATCCATTGCCAAGCCAATATAGGAGTTCAGGGGATGGCCCTACAATGGTTTTCCTCTTTTCTCCGCGGCTGGGGACAGAGAGTGGCACTTGGCGAGGAGATCTCTCAGCGATACCCACTTGAATGTGGAGTACCACAGGGGGCAATCGTCTTGCCAATGTTGTTTAACATCTATATGTGCCCCCTCGCCCAGTTGGTCTGGGGGGTTGGGCTGGGTTGCCACCAATATGTGGGTGACACCTAGCTCTATCTGTTGCTGGACAGCTGCCCAGATTCCGCCCAGGGCACCGGGGGCCATGGCTGGATGGTTGCAGCAGAGCTGGCTGAAACTTAATCCAACAAAGATAGAGGTCCTGTACCAGAGCCAGGGGGGAGTTGAGTCAGGAATCAGGCTGCCTGCCTTGGATGGCACACCACTTCTGCCAGCCCAGAAAGTGAGGAGTCTGGGGGTGATCCTGGATGCCTTGTTTAGTATGGAGGCCCAAGGTCACCACAGTTGCCAGGTCTGCCTTTTATCATATTCGGCAGATCAGGGAGCTGGCTCCCTATGTCTCCCCCTAGGACTTAGCTAGAGTGACCCATGCAGTGATCACTTCCCGGTTTGATTACTTTAACTCACTCTATGTGGGCTTGCCCTTGCGACTCATCTGGAAACTCCAGCTGGTGCAAAATGCAGTGGCATGCTTGCTGACTGTGTCACCTGTGCGGGTACACGTCCAGCCATTTGCACTGGCTACCGATTAAGTACTATCCAGCCAGTGGCACGCCATTTGCACTGGCTACCGATTAAGTACTAGATCTGCTTCAAGGTACTGGTTTTGACCTTCAAAGCTTTGCACGGCCAGGGACCAACATACCTGCAGGACTGCCTCTCCCCATATGTGCCCCGGAGAGCCTTGTGCTCGACTGAACAACACCTACTGGTGGCCCCCAACCTGAGGGACATCTGTCTAGCCTTGACCAGGGCGAGGGCTTTTTTGGCCCTGGCCCCAGGCTGGTGGAACAAGCTCCCACTTGCAATCAGGGCCCTGCAGGACTTATTATCATTCCGCAGGGCCTGTAAGACAGAACTGCTCTGCCAGGCCTTTGGCTGAGGCATAGGGAGTCCAATGAAGCTGGCCTCCCTCACTGAAGCCTGTCATCATAATTCAACCCAGATTAAGAAACTCTCTGGATCCAATCACTCCAGCTGAAATTGTGTTTGTGGTTATACACTGTTAGTTGTTTTTAAATTATGTTATTTAATTGTTTTAAATATTGCTATATATTTATTAATGTATGTTTTTATCCACTTATGACGTGATCCACTCTGAGCTCTTCGTGGGGAGAGCGGAATATAAACCTAAATAAATAAATACCAATATTCATATTGATATTGGGATTTGGGAAATAATCGGTATTGCCGAATTTATTCGGCTCTCCGTACCTTCCCTTCTCTCCCTGAGTCACCCCATGGCTGTGACACATGTCAGGAAGAGAAGGGAAGCAGAGGGGTTTAAGACTTCCTCCCAGGAAGGAAGTCTTTAACCCCTCTCTGCTTTGCTCCCCCCCACACACTCTGAAGAGCCCTCGTCACCTGTACAGACCCGGCTGCCTGGCAAGGCTTCTTCTGTGGGGTGGTGATGGAATCTTGTGCAGACAGGGAGGGCTCTCCCTCCCTGGCCACACAGGTTGAGCTGGCAGGGCTGGCTTCTTCTGTGGGGTGGTTTAAAAACCACCCTGAAGAAGAAGCTAGCTCCAGGATCTGTGTGCGCCCAGGGAGGGCTCTCCCTCCCTGCTGCACAGACCCAGGTGGGAGAGGGGATGGAAAGGAGTTTAAACTGGAGTTGGGCTGCAGCTGTGGCACAACTCCAGCGAGAGGGGAAGGGGTTTAAAGTTTGAACCTCTTCCCTTCTCTGTGGAGTCACATCGCACTTGCGGCCTGACTCTAGGGAGGGGATAGAGAGGAATTTAAAGTTTAAACCCCTTTCCTTCTGTCTCTCTCTAATATCAACTTTTATTTGGGTGGGGTTACTTCGGTAGCTGAATACAGATCTCAGGTCTGTATTCAGCTGAATAAATACCCGAAAAATATCAATAAGGTATTTTTCGATTATTTATTCTGCTCAGGATATACAACGTGTACACCCGTCCCTAATAGTAATTCCAATTTAAATCAAATTAGATTTAAGTCAGAGCTATTCACTGTATGAACAAACCATGATTACGTGATAAAGGCAATGTGGCCATTATTGCCCACAAGTGTGACAGTACTGTGGAACAGACACATTTTCCCCCTGTAAGACAAGTGATATAAGTGATTAATGTAATTTTTATGACTTTTTCAAGCATTGGTAAGTAAATGGAGCTAAAAGCCTTGAGGAGGAAATTTCTTTTCTGTTTGCAAAGGGAATTGTATGTCCAGTTGAGAAGCTTAAGCTGTTGATGCTTCTTGAAGATAAACCTAGAACATAACCTGCCCTCCCAACGCTATCTGCAGCAGAATCAAGCCTGACCCAGTGTCTTTCCTGTGGTTCAAAGGACCCTAACATGCTTGGCTGACAGTGTTTATAGGCAGATAAGGGCATGATTTGCAGCCTTAGGTTTGGTAAATGTTTTCTTATTAGGAATTGCATTAGGAATTGCATTTCACATTAAGCAATTTATATGTAATAGAGGTTAAATATTCTCTGCAGGCTCAAAGGCAGAGCTCTTAGCTGTCAGGGCCCTGGGATGGTAATCTATGATGGTTCATGGTAATCTAGAGGGTGATAATGTTGGAATGCCAGATAACCCTTGATTTAAAGGCTCCTCCAGAACACCACAGGTCCATAGGACTGAATGGGGGATTCTGTCCATTGTCCTCCAGCAAAAGCCTTCCTTGTGGGCAAAGTCAAATGGCTGCTTATGGGTGGTAGGAAAGCCTATGCTTTCTTACCTACAGCAATAGGAGGAGGAGAGAGACTGAAAAAAGGAATAGTGGCAGTGCCATGTGCAGAAGAGTTACTTTGAATGGAGCATAGCACTGCTGTAGTCATACATGGAACTAATGACAGCAGAACAAAGAAGAATGATTAGGATGGCAACAGCACATCTATGAAGTGACACCATTCTATATGATATTGCTTCCACCTCCTACAATATTATTTATAAAACAAGCCTTGTTTCCCTGTGCCTTCTGCCCAGTAGAAAATGCATTCGCTGCCTCAAAGCACTCTGAAGCAGAGGTCATTTCAAGGGGATCGCGGGGGATCGCAGTTCCCCCGGGTGAGGTACGGGGGGGCGGGGCACATGACGAAGCCCCGCCCCCTGCTTCCATCTGCCCCGCTTCTGGCCCTCATTCAGCCAGGAGGAGGCAGAAGAGGGAGGGTAAGTTGCTTCCTCCCTGCCTCTCCCCACCTCTGCCTGCCTGGGGCCAGGGAGGGCCTTCGCAGGGCTTCCTTGCACTCCCGCCGGCCTTGCAGGTCCACCGCCGGGCCCCTCATGGGGCTCGGCAGTGGAGCTGCAAGGCCGGCGACACTGTCCGGGACCGTTGGGGGCGGGGGGTGTGGCCTTATGACACACTTCCGGTGATGTCAGGGGGTGTGGCCTTATGACACACTTCCGGTGATGTCAGGGGGTGTGGCATATGCTAATGAGTCATGCTAATGAGTTCCCCTAGCTCTTTTTCTACGAAACGACCCCTGCTCTGAAGGAAATGTGCAGCCTAAATCCAGTTCTATTCCTATTTCCATCTGAGTAGGCTGGGACGGGACTGCCACCTGAAAATGAATTCTGTAGGCGAGAGGATGAGAGGAAGGTTGTCCATAAAAGGAGTTGCTGTGTGCGTGCGCGTGCGCCAAAATGTAAAATATGAAAGCGAAAGGATTGTGAATGCTTAGACCAAGCTCTGTTCGGCCACGTCTATTTTATCTTGCACGTTCTTGGCACCTGCAGAAAACATGCACGTGTCCACATACACACTTTCGTTCAGCCACACAAAGAGGACAAGGCACAGGAACTCTGACAAAGACAGGGTATTTGCTCACCTTAGTACCGACTGTCCTTGTGAAGTACAACAGAGGAAGTTAAGAGAGAGGAGAAAGAACAGGTTATTAGAGCACAGACAGCACCGAGGGAAAGGGCGGATGGAATGAATGGAACAAGGAACAAGGGAGAGGTGCAGAAATAAAGACAGACCCGCAACATCCATGACACAAGAATATCCCTCAGGGGGAGCTTTGGCCTCAGTAGATTTCAGCTGAGTACAGATTAGGAATTGGCCTTTGGGTGGGCAGGAGCCCAGCAGTAGCCTCGGCTCATTCCGAGGTGCTACCTGAGGCCACTCGCGACTGCTTCTGCGTTGCCTCAGGCCCTTTGCTGTTGCCCTACTTGGGAGCTGAGGCAACGAAGACTCCTTGTCTATCCTCTCAGGCTCTTTTTTTTTGTTTTTAAAGGCAGCAAGCTGCACACGCTTTATAGGAATTCCTCAGCTCTTGTGCAATTCATTCTTGTGGTGAGACTTGGGCCACCATTTTGGTTGCCTGGGCAATGAGCATGACTAGAGGGCAATTCACATAGGTAAAAACATGTGCTAGGGCTGCCAGCCTCCAGGTGGGGCCTGGAGATCTCCCACTTTCACAACTGATCTCCAGCTGGCAGAGATCAGCTCCCCATGATTAGGATGGCAACAGCACATCTATGAAGTGACACCATTCTATATGATATTGCTTCCACCTCCTACAATATTATTTATAAAACAAGCCTTGTTTCCCTGTGCCTTCTGCCCAGTAGAAAATGCATTCGCTGCCTCAAAGCACTCTGAAGCAGAGGTCATTTCGGGGGGGATCGCGGGGATCACAGTTCCCCCGGGTGAGGTACGGGGGGCGGGGCACATGACGAAGCCCCGCCCCCTGCAGGAACGCACAGGAACGGAGTTCCGGCTGGCTCCCGAGTTGGCCACGCCCAGCAGGAACTCATTAGCATAATAGGCCACACCCAACAGCAGAAACTCATTAGGATTGGCTACATTAGGGGTGTGTGGCCTAACATGCAAAGGAGTCCCTGCTACAAAAAAAGCCCTGGAACTTTGACAACAGACAAGGTAAACAGAATAAGAAGCAAAAGGTGGGTGTGGCTGGATGACCTAACTTCTGGTAACATGGGGGTGCGGCCTAATGTGCTAATGAGCTGTGCTGTCAGGGTTGTGGCCTAATATGCTAATGAGTTCCTGCTGTTGGGTGTGGCCTATTATGCTAATGAGTTCCTGCTGGGCTTTTTCTACAAAAAGAGCCCTGGTTTAAACTACTATTTAAATATCTGGAGTACATTTCATGCACCTCCTCCTGCTAAGGCTACATCCACATAGAGGTTTTTTCTCCAATTCGGCTTCCAAATCTTCCGCTTTTTTATCTTTTTGTGGAGCAACCATAAAACATCGTCCTCTTATCGCCCACTTCCTAGGCTTTCCCCATCCTCGGAAGACACCAAGAGCAAACCGTGCCTCCTCTTCCTCCTTGCTCTTGGCGACATTTCCTCAGCCTCACTACCACTTCCCTTTCTTTCAACCTGCTTCGCCGAAATCCCGAACTTTTCAATAAATGCTTTTCAAGCATCTACCCTTCTTCCTCTCTTCCTGATCATCAGCTCTTGCCCTCCCTTTCTGCCTCGCTACTTCAGTGCACCCCCTGAACAGAAACAAAACAGACCTTTTCCAGCCCCTCTCTCCCCTTTGGTCTTTCTCCGCCTTTACAATTCCCTTCAAAAGAGGATGAATCATCACTAGCAGGGAGCAGCTCGATTCAAGTCCAGTAGCACCTTAGAGACCAACCCGATTTCAGGGTATAAGCCTTTGAGGTCCAAAGCTAGCATCCCACTAGCATGAAGGGTTGTGTGTGTGTGTGTGTGTGTGTGTGTACAGGAGTCAGGGAAGGGGAGAAGGCAGGGCTATTTTTGGGCAGGAACGCACAGGAACGGAGTTCCGGCTGGCTCCCAAGTTGGCCACGCCCAGCAGGAACTCATTAGCATAATAGGCCACACCCAACAGCAGAAACCCATTAGGATTGGCTACGTTAGGGGTGTGTGGCCTAACATGCAAAGGAGTTCCTGCTACAAAAAAGCCCCTGGGTTTTGACAACAAACAAGGTAAACAGAATAAGGCGCAAAAGGTGGGTGTGGCTGGATGACCTAACTTCTGGTAACATGGGGGTGCGGCCTAATGTGCTAATGAGCTGTGGTGACAGAGGTGTGGCCTAATATGCTAATGAGTTTCTGCTGTTGGGTGTGACCTATTATGCTAATGAGTTTCTGCTGGGCTTTTTCTACAAAAAGGGTCCTGGGAGAAGAAATGCCCTTAGAAAGTATCATCTATAACTGAATTTCAGCTAGAACTACAAGGGGTTTTTTGGTTACTCTATGCTTCCCTCTCTGCATGAAGGAAGTCAGGAGGAGAAGCACTACTGTGCAAACTGGGATTTGTGCATTCAGAAATCGCATCAAACCCAGTTAACAATCTACAGGTCATGGCTGAGAATCCCAGGCTGAGTTCAGACTGGCAGTATGAAGCACGAGGAGGTGGGGCAAAAAGACTCGGACCAAGTTGTGCTGGGGATTCCCGGTCGCACTGCACCTACTGATGCGGGAGCATACCGGGGAGGAGGAACAAGGGAGCGTTCGCACTGTTGGCCTGCCCCTGACGGAGGCACAGCTGTAAGTGGCTTTTTCTCCACTCTGGCGACATGCGCCTATGCATAGGCGCAACACCGCAGCAATGCGGCTTGTTTGCGGGTTTTAGCGTGCACACTTCCGGGAAGCGGGATTAACGCCCCCTCCAGGGTTTGCTCCGGCTTTCACCTGGTGCTTGTTTAATGCGGTAGGGAATCGTCACAGGATGGGGTGAGTATAGCTGGGGAACGCCTGATAGCTGTGGCTGTGTGAACCGGCCCCTTTAATCCGTTTGTGAAACGTGCCAAACTGCCAGTCTGAACTCAGCCCCAGTATAGCATCCACCAACAAACATAGTGTATTGAGTACCCTGCATTCAGACAGCACACTAAACCAGTTATTCGTCAAGTTATGATTTTATAAACTGTGATTTACTGTGATTTACTATAGCCCAGATATATGAAACAGTCTGAATAGTCTAAAGCACTATATAAATGCTGAGTATGACTATTCATAGGGAGGGGTTGTGGCTGGTGTTCCCTCTAAGCTGAGTGAGTGTGAGCTAGCTCACAGCTTTTTAGCTTCCAGCGCACAGATTTTTGTTTTCGCTCAGGAAGGATGGCTCCAGAGGAAACTAGTTTATACAGCAGCCACATTGCTTGCTCACAACTTTAATACCAGTAGCTCACAAAGTAGAATTTTTGCTCATAAGACTCCACAGCTTAGAGGGAGCATTGTGGCTCAGTAGAAGAGGGCATGCTTTGTACATACAAGGTCCCAGATACAATCCCTTGCATCTCCAGTTGAAATGATCTCAGGCATTATCTTTGAGAAAGGCCATCTTTCCATTGCCTTGGAGGGATCCAGTCAATTAGGAAAGGAAGACAGATTAATTGACTTGGTATAAGGCTGCATCATTGTTGTTCATGCTCACATGGTTATCCGTGGTGGGGTTGGTCAAATAGCAGCCCATATACTGGATCAGGCATCTAATTCTTCTAAACCAGCCTGAACCCTGAAAGGCTCCCTGTTGAACTGACAATGGCCTGTGACTATGAGAAAGAGGAGTATGAGCACTGAGGGGACAAATTCTTCTTTAAAATGTTGCCTCGAAATGTTGCATTGAAAACAACATGTTAAAAACGTTGCATTGAAAACAACACATTATTTTGATGAAACTCTAAGAAATATTTTAACACTCAATAGAAAGTTTGTGTGTGTAAAGTGCTATCAAGTCACAGCAGACTAATGGCGACCCCATAGGGTTTTCAAGGCAAATGATTAAGCAGCGGTGGTTTGCCATTGACTTCCTCTGCAAAGTCTTCTTTGGTGGTCCCCCATTCAAGTACCGGACCAGCTTAGCCCCCGAGATCTGATGAGATCAGGCTGTACAATCCCATTTCACATCCCTAAAGTTTGTACAGAAATGGTAAATGGCACAATCGAAAAGGTTAGCTTTTCAACCTTCCATTTGCTCTCTGAGATGTTAAAGGGCATCACCAACTTTCCAACGCAACTGCTTTTCTTACCACAGAATTCTCTGTCTTTATCGTTTTGACTTGTAAACAGTCCTCCACCCCTCTGGTGGTGCTGTTTGCCTCAGCACTCTCCTCGGCAGCTTTGCTACTCTGCTTTGCACTTGCTTCGTTGTCACTATTGTCTTTAAGGGGAGGCGGTCTCAGGTGAACATCATTGCGCTGTTTCTTGGTGACGTGTGCCTCTGGCCCATGCACCGTCTTCACGTGTTTTCTGAGGGAACTGGGGTCTGTGTACCTCTTCGTGCAGCCTGGAATTTTGCAGACATAGGGTTTCTGTAAACAGGAACAAACGTAAAGATCAGTACTTGAAATACTTTCATGCAGCATTTGTGGAACACGATTTCTGTGCTATGTTGATATGTCTGTGGTAGGATTCAGAGAAGCTGTGATTTCTGAATCTGCGGTGTGCAAGCACTGATTGTCTGAGTGCATCCAACCTAGGGTCGCCAAGTGCAATTTACCTTATAGTGGGGGAGTCCCGGGCCCCGTCCTGGAGGTTTTAGGCGTGTGCACAAAGCACGCACACCGCAATGATGCCATCTGGAAGTGACGTCATCACGTCAGTCATGTTGAGGGCGGGACCACTATGATTCGAGGGAAAACCATAGAGTTTTCCCTCGAATCATAGAGCATCCCCCCGCAACATGCCCAGTGTGATGTTGTTACCTCCGGGTGACATCATCACGCCGGGCACGTCTGCACGTTCCTGGCATTTTGGGGGTGGGGTTTCCCCCAGTGGCCTTGAACCGGGCTGGCGGGTAACGGGACCATTGAGCAGGGGTTTCCCCACCCCCCAGTGGGACTTGGCAAGCGTAATCCAACCTGAGACTGATTACAATGTGTGGAACTGCCAGTTTTGTTGTATTCCCACGAGCTCCCAAAGAATTCTTTGAGGGGGGATGCTTTAGGGAATGCCACAGCTCAGTGGTGGAGCACATGTATGTCATGCACTGAACAATACTGTCTCAGAAAAAGGCAACTTTATATGTTCAACGTCAGCTGGAGGAGGTGGTTATCTTGTTGTAGGTCTACCCATTGTTCTCAGTGACTAAACACTACTGATAATGGCAGTTACAATGAAGGAATGCTGTGGGACTTCCCTCATCTCCCAAAGTCCACCATCTGCACGGATTTGACACTACATGCACTGTTGGTCAGGATAGGTCTGTACTTTTAAACTGCTCGTTTGAAACTCTGGATCAAAACTCAGACTTTGCAAGTGATCACACAGTGCCTCTACCCAATACATTCTAATGCCTTGCCTAATTGTACTTCACTTGCTCTGCATTTGTTCCAGTTGCCACAGGAATGCTAGCACAGTTAGCATGGGATGTGCAAGGAAGAGGAAGAAGAGATCGGATTTATACTCCGCCCGAAGGTGTCGCAGAGCGGCTTACAAACACCTTTTCCCTTCCCCTCCCCAGAACAGACACCCTGTGAGGTAGGTGGGGCTGAGAGAGCTCTGACAGAAACTGCTCTTTTTTCAAGAACAGCTCTGCTAGAACTACGGCTTGCCCAAGCTCATCCAGCCAGGTGCAACCTTGAGGTTCGATTCACATATTATGGCAACCTGTATATCCTCCCCAGAGAGGCCTTGCTGTAAAATTACTTGCTGATCAGTCAATGTAGACAATTGCTGACAATAATAAGCTGTTATGTGCTTGAGCCAATCTGGTGTGAGAGCCAGTCTGGTGTAGTGGTTAAGTGCGCGGACTCTAATCTGGGAGAACCGGGTTTGATTCCCCACTCCTCCACTTGCACCTGGCTGGATGACCTTGGGCAAGCCATAGTTCTGATAAGAGCTGTTCTTGAAAAAGAGCAGTTTCTATCAAGAGCTCTCTCGGCCCCACCTACCTCACAGAGTGTCTGTGGTGGGGAGGGGAAGGGAAAGGAGTTTGTAAGCCGCTCTGAGACTCCCTTGGTGTTAAGTCGGTTACTTAACAAAGAGTCAGAGAGTGATTTCAGCAAAAGATCAGCTTTATTCAGCAACTCGTAACTCAACTCCAAACAGATCAACATGAATTGCCAGAACAGCTATAGCATTGAAGCTGTTCCACTTTTAAACTCTCCTGGCTAATGTAGCCACGCCTACTATACAAATACCAACCTATGAGGTTGCAGGGATAAAGTCCAATCACAATAGTTCCCATTCTTGGAACTGGCTGTTGGTGATTGGTCGGCTCTTCCTGGGCTACCAATTACAATTGCGGGATTAGGATCCTAGCCCAGGATGAAAGCTTCACATGGTGATTCAGTGAGTGAGTTCACATACATACATTGTCCGAATGAATACACCACACTTGGGTAGTGAAGGGCGGGGTATAAATCCAATCTCTTCTCTCTTCTTCTTGACTTACTGGTGGCCGTTTAACGGATCATACTCCCCACTGGCTCCCCTTGGTCCCTGACTGCCTAGTCTCTCTGTGGCTGCAGGATAACAGGCCGTGGATAACAGGCCGTGGCTGGTTGGCTCAGGCTGAGTCGGCTGAAATTAAACCCGGCAAAGACGGAGGTCCTGGGCCTGTGTCGGACCGGCCGGGAGTTGGGGCTCCTTCTCCCGACCTTCGGCGGGGTGCCTTTGGTGCCTGTGCGGGAGGTTAGGAGTTTAGGAGTGCTCCTGGACTCTTCACTGACAATGGAGGCCCAGGTGGCAGCCACTGCTAGATCAGCCTTTTACCACCTACGGCTGGCCCGGCAGTTGGTTCCCTATCTCAGCC